CCCCCCCCCAAAATTAGCAAAATATAAATCTGTGATTAAATCTATATTCCATAAGGAAAACAGTCCAGATGGAAATACCTAAACAGATCTAACGGGTTAATAAAAAAACCCCGGAAGTCAAAGATTGTAAGAGAAGCTAAATGAAATAATAGCCACAAAACATTTTCTGAATAGCCCAGGTAGAAATGTGTTTCTCAAACATTACAGCTCCATTTCAAAAGGAGGAAAAAGTAGTTCTAAAAAAAATCCAGAAAATTATTTAATAGAAGCTTTGAAGAGAGTAATCTTCTAAACAGAAAGAAGACAAGGACGTTCAAAGGTAAAATATCTTCAATAGACAATAAACATATCATAGGACGGGAAATAACCTTTCCTTTTACATAAAAGGTTTTAAAGGTTACAAAACTGTATAATTCAAATGATTCATAAAAGAGTACATGAACTAAAAGGACTTTTTTATGGCTAGATAATTTCAAAGAAAAAAAACCAAACAACTCAAATCTCTGGATTCCAACACAGGGTAATGCCATATTCCTCAAAGTAATACATGAGCATCTTCCCCAGCATGACAACTCACACATTCTTGTTTCTTTTTAATAATAAAACTAGGCTACTTAAAACAGTCATTTTTTTCTTCTAGAAAATATAATATATTGGTGTGGCTAGCAGGAGGTTAAAGGAATTTTGTACCAATGTTTCAAGAAAACAAGGACTATGTGAGTCCTTTCACATTCAGAAGCACTAAAGTCAATATTTATTCTCAAAAAACTGTTTTTCTGGAAACACACTGAGAATTAGATGTAAATAAACAAAGAAAACCCCTCACCAATTTTGTTTTGCTGCATTCTCTAGTTACTTGTAACATCACCCTCATCCACAATTCTCTAATGGGCCTGAAGTTTCCAGCACTGTGATCCAATGATGTGGTTAATTTCAGAGGCTTCATACTCAAATGAGAGAGCATCTTTGGCCAGGAGCAACATCTGGCATCCCAGGTCATCCAGCTCCATCCAGGACAACTTGATAACACCCAACTTTCTAGAAAGATATATATCTACAACCTGAAAAAAACCCTGCACTATTTCAGAGTGAGATTTAAATTACAAGTTCAATGTTAAATTGCAGCTTAAGGTCAGCAATGACCATCTGTGGCCACTTAACAGCTTACTTTCATCAACAATCTGATTTTACTAAGTTCTTGGTACCAACACACTATTGAGATAGAACACGGTTTTCAAGGAAACTGTCAGACACTAGCTAGTAGACCAAAGATTGAGTACCTTGACAAACAAGGAGCAGATATCCAGTCAAACTACACTGAACTCTAAGCTAGAGCTGAAACCAGATAGCATGCAATATATAAAAGTCCTCCTTTGATTTGCCTTGATGATTTGGTGATCCATATAGTTTTTCCTGCAGTAAACCTCAATACATCTAACACATTTTATACCACTCAAAAACTGCCAACAACAAACTGCCTTTAAGATGTGATGTTTTAGTCTTGATGATAGATAGAATTATCTAGTATATCAAATTTATTTGCTGTGTATGGAAGCAGCAGTGGCTATACTGATCAAAAAGGGATTTTAAAGCAACACATACGCAAAGAAACATGTGCATACTTGCGTAACTTCTCTTGTCACAGTGTGACCAATTATATTGAGAGGCAAGTAATAACTAGTAACTGCTCTTACAAGTTAGTTTACAAATCAGATTGTGCTTGCAGTTTACTGCTCAAGTAAATGTTCATATTTTAAAATGTTTTAAAAAACGAAATTTGGTTTAAAATAACCGTGTCAAGGCTGTGCAGGAGCTCACTGTCACTGGACATTAATGGTGCCCAAACGTTTTCCTTGAGCAGTCCCATAGCTCCTCCCAGTGGCCACAAGCCTTCACTAGCACATCACTAATTTGAAACAACCAATAAACATCTCTGAGATTAATAACCTACAAGTACCACTACAGCACAGATACCTGCATTCTCTGAACTTACAACTACATTAGACATCACAAACTTAGAAGGTCTCTACATGAAATAGCATGCTGTTATCTATGTTTGAAAACTCCTTTAGGACTATTCCTAATGGGTTGGATTCAAGTATGCAACTTAAAGCAAAGCCACAATTCATGTTCACTGCACCTAACAGAACAGTGCCCCAATTTTTCATTTGGGTCATCGCAGCTTTACTATCTCCTTTGATACAAACCAAGAATACAAGCAACTCTCTGCAGAACTATGAAATTCCATGAGCATTCACCCACCGATCATGTTCCACATACCTCAGGAGTCAGAGATGTGCCCTCAGACTTGCCCTCATGACAGGGCCAAAGGAGAAAGAAAACACAGCAGTTACCGACTGCCACCTCCTGCTGTCATTACATAAATCCACCAAGCCTAGTACCTGTTCTCTAAAAGCTCATGGAAAGAAATCTCTCGCCTGGCAACGTGCAACCCACAGACTTTTTTTAGAAGAGTTTTGTATTGGAACTAAATTAGCTTCCTGGGATACTCATCTGTCAAGCATCAGAGTTCTGTCAATAAGAATCTCATTTAAAAATTAATTATGGTATACAGTATCAACTATGTTTGTAAAGTAAAGGAGGGGGGAGGAACATCAGCTTCACAACTTTAAACTTGAGTTAGTCATAGCTCTATTAATATTAAATCACATACTGCTAAATCACATGCAGTAAAAAGTTTGCACAAAACTAGATAGCTAAAAATTCACTCTAGTAAATTTTCTTCAATGCTTACAATAAAAACTGATGTTTAACAACACCATTGCCTTAAGAACCTTCTGGTAAGTTTTGCAGCTATCTTGGCAGGGTAAATACCTGCCTTTCTCAAAGAAAAACACAAAGTGTGTTTTGTAGTACAACTATCATTGACAGGCAGGTAAGGTAATGAATGTCAAATTTTCTTTCAAACTTCCAGAACATATAACAAAACCACAAGAAATACAGACACAAAATAATTGGCTTCATTTCTTGATTAGATGCTTTAATTTACAGTAAATTACTGTATTTATTTAGAGGACTGATCTTAAAATAACTCTTAACCTGGTGTCAAGTCATCTCCCCTTAAACAGAAAATTTTAGTAGTTTAATTCTCTATACTTACTATCATGGTACCTATAGAGTTATTTCTTTTGATTAGGAAAAATTCTTTAGCAATGCCTTCCCACTCTTCTGTTTTTAAGCTATTTAAGTTCATGCAAGCCTTTAAAAATGAAACTAGATAACCCAATGAATTACCACCATAGCTGTTTCACTCATACCTCATTTTTCAAAGAAATTCATAGAAGGTATAACCAAAGCAATCATGCACTGTTCTGTCAAGAAGATATCAAAGCTAAAATTACAGATTCTGAAAGCCTGATCCACTTTCAACCTGCGCTCAAAAAAGCAAGAAAAAAATCATAAAACATAATTTATGGGTCCCACAGCTTAACCTGGACAAGACAAAACTGAACTCAGAGTTCTGCCTTACACTGTCTTCCAAAATTCCATGTACCCATTAATACCAAGTTTTACTGCATTTTATACTTAAAGACTCAAGTAAAACCTCTTAATACATCTCCTTTCTCAACATTCTTTCTCATTACTCAGACACAGCTACTTCAATTAAGCAATTAGTCTAAAACATGTAGCACTTAACTCTATACAAAATCAGCCAAAATTTTGAGAGCTGTTAGCTACAAGTATCCCCAGAATACAGGGTGTTACAGGCTCTTGGCATCATTAAACACTTGGAATTTATTCCATAGCATAAGGTGTCTTTGAAAACCAATACCAACTGAATCACAATCACTGCATTAAGAAATGTTCTGGATAAAGAAAGGAATGAATTCCCAAAACTGATGAGTACTATTAACAATCTAATGTAAACTCTAGCACACTACGTCCTTCTTCCTCAAAAGCCACTTTTTAAATCAATGGGTATAAAACCAAATACCTTTGACCAGTTGATTCTCTTCATTGTGACTTCCAGCTTATACTTTTTCTTCTCCTTCATCCCATGTGGTAATGCTGGTATCACCATATAGGGAGCAAAAGGAACACCTCCAAGAGCTGGTGGCATTGGAGGCCCCCCAAAAGGTGGTGGTGGTGGAGGTCCTGCTCCACCAGGCAGCGGAG